TGGACAGTTCCTTCTCACGCACGAAGTCTGGTGACGTCACATTCCCATTTCCTATTGCTGAACGAAAGGTAAAACGTAGCTGTGCTGCTTCATGACATCACAAGGTGGAACAGAGCATTTTGAGCTTTGGAGATGTAGACAGACTAATAATAAAGGATTACTTAAACATATGTAAACGAAACAAAACACAACTCCAGGTCTGATTTGATGAGGTAACAACTCGGGCCGATACGATACTTACCTTGATACAGTGAGCTTACACTTCGATACGATTCAATACGATATATTTCAATTGATTCGATGCGACTCAATAAAAAATAAAGGTTAAATCATGGCTGTGATACTAAAAGTCTTTGTTAAACCACGTCCATTTTAATCATCAAAACAGTAAAAATGTGAACTGTGTTGCATTAGAGTTTCCTTCCACTAAACAAACAACAAAACTGTAGCACAGTACAAAATAATTTAGTAAAAAAAATACTCTTGGTGATATATCAATACAGCAGCCCACGATATCGATACTGTATCATCACATTAAACGATACGATATATTGATATTTCAGTATTTTAGCACACCCCTAGTAACAACATTATAACATGACTTAAAGCTTAAAGAGTCAGTTTTGTGTAATAAAGGACCTTCAAGTACCTTAAAGTTAAACTACACATTATTTCGGCTTTTCAAACGGCTTTCAGATGCCTTGATATTCCACGTTGTGTAACTAATTTCACATTAAATGCGGTGACACAAAGCGCCGCATTGAAAAGTCCGTAGTCTAAGCACAGAATGTACCAGGGGAGCTGTTTATAGAAGTACAGAGACAATATTAATTCGTGCATCTCCCATAGCGTCGCAGGCTCTGATCCACGCCACGCTGCTCAAAAAGTTAAAGGTTACATTTAATTTGCTCTGAGCTTTTAATACTCTCGTTAACCTCAAATTACCCCACAAGGCAAAGCATAAATTCAGTCAAGATTATTATGGGCTAATTAATGGAGATACATTCAAGTGTCTCAACAAAATAACTCAGCGTATAGCTACAGTCTTGTTATTTTAATTTTGTGGTCTACAATTATACTGATGCAATAGAGTTTTGTAATATTCAAAACAACACTGTGAACTGTTAAAGGTTCTATATTCACAAAGTTGACTCTTGTGAGATTTAAGTCGTGTTATAAAGTTATTACCGATCTGGAGTTGTGTTTTGTTTCATTTGCATGTGTAACTCTTTATTACCGTATTTTTCGGACTATAAGTCACTCCAGAGTACAAGCAAGGCAAGTTTATTTATATAGCACAATTCGTACACAAAGTAATTCAAAGTGCTTTGCAGAATAAGAAATACATTAAAATCACTACACAAACAAATCAAAACATAAAAATCATCATAAAATTAAAAAGAGAGAGAAACATTAATTACATAAATTAGAGAGAAGAAGAGTGCAGATTGAAAACCTTGAAGCCTTGTTTTGAGCCTGGATTTAAACAGCGTCAAAGTAGAGGCCTGTCTCACATCTTCAGGACGACTGTTCAAAGTTTTAGCTGCGTGAATCTGAAACGCTGACTCCCCGTGTTTAGTCCTGACTCTGGGCACCAGCAGGAGGCCGGTCCTTGAAGTATAAGTACAAGTCGCAGCCGCCAAAAAATGTGTAATGAAGAAAAAACATAAATAAGTCGAACTTTTTGGGGGAATTTTTTTTTATATAAAATCAGAGACCAGGAACTGACATTTCATCCTGAAAGGCAAGTTATAGTAATAACAACAGAACAGAGAACAACAGACTGTCACATATGAACAGTTCTTCAGATAAATATAACATAAACAACAGAACAGAACAAGTTTAACAAACTCTCCATCTCACTCCAAATCACTAAATCCATTCAATTCTTCATCCTCGGTGTCACTTCTGAGTAACACCGTGACCTCCGGAGGTAAACACAGCGACGCTTCCTCTTCTGTGTAGCTGTCATCAGACTCAGCATCAGTTCCAGTTAGAATTATTTCAGTCTTTCTGAATCCCGACAGGATGGTTTCGATGTCACTGAAGTCCAGACTTTGTCCATCCATCCAGTGACTTCAGGAAAGTTTGCCTGGTGCATCCTCCTGGTGTCACAAGTTTCTCGCTCACTCCAAACTTTCTTTCTGCTGCTCGATTAACGTTTTCAGACAGACGCTCTTTCTGCAGGAGACACGTGCAGTAGAGGGAAGTGACAGTGGTGCAGGAGGAACAGATACTGACACACAAGACTAGAGCCTGTCGCGGCTTCAGTGTGAAAATTTGAATATATAAGTCACACCGGAGTATAAGTCGCAGGAAACACCCAAATCATGAAAAAAGTGCCACTTATAGTCCGAAAAATACGGTATTATTCTGTCTGTATCTCTAAAACTCAGAATGTCTTGTGGCCTTCAGGATTTTGACTCCAAACAATGCGCTAAATATTTTTCAGTCTTCATTCAAGAATCAGAATCGGAGCCAAACGTGTGATTAATGGAGCGATAATGTGCTCACAGTGACTCCAGTCAAACTCCATCTCATTCAGTTCAACGGTGATTCATCTGGAGCTTCAGAACGGACACAGCCGATGCATCACCCATTCTGTCCAAAAGCTTTTAATTATCCTCCATGGTTTTATTTATTTACGTCTGTGTAAACTTTGATCTTTTCTTCCCGACTGTATTGTAATTTATATGGTTTTACATTTAATCATTTTTTTAAATTTATTTGCATTATTTTTAATTTGAAGCACCTTGTGAGCCCCATGAAAGGGTTTATAAATATAAAAGCTCTATAAATAAAAATTAGTTGCAGTAGTATTGGTGGTGGTAGTAGTAGTAGTAGTAGTAGTAGTAGTAGTAATAGTGGTAGTAGTAGTAGTAGTAGTGGCTGTATTATTAACTGTAACTAGTAACCAGTAACTATACACGTGGTCAAATAGTAGTAGTAGTAGTAGTTAGATTTCTGGCATTGTACATTTCTCACATGTATCCTGTCTGTTGTGGTCACAGCCAGGTAGTGATGATAGTTTTATAAGCAGCAGTAATACTTGCAGTAGTGGTAGAAGTAGTAGTAGCAGCAGCAGCAGCAGTAGTAATAATAGTAGTACTAGTACTAGTTCCCTGGAGGAAGTTTATTTGGATAGCCTTCCTGTAGTAGTCCTAGTGTCACTCACATAGCTCTGCAGTAGTAGTAGCAGTAGTAGTAGCAGCAGCAGTAGTAGTAGTAGTAGTAGTAGTAGTAGTAGTAGTAGTAGTAGTAGTAGTAGTAGTAGTAGTAGTAGTAGTAGTAGCAGCAGTAGTAGCAGCAGCACTTCTATAAGCAGTAGTTGTAGTAGTCATAGTCATAGTATCATTACTTACATGTCTCTCTGCTCTGTCACAATCAGGTGTCTCAGAGCAATTCCCTGATAGTATAAAGTACAGTAATAGTAGTAGTAGTAGTAGTAGTAGCAGTAGTAGTAGTAGTAGTAGTAGTAGTAGTAGTAGTAGTAGTAGTAGTAGTAGTAGTATCCTTAGTACTAGTTTCACTCACACATATCTCTGTTCTCAAAGCAGTTCCCTGATAGTATAAAGTACAGTAATAGTAGTAGTAGTAGTAGTAGTAGTAGTATCATTAGTACTAGTTTCACTCACACATATCTCTGTTCTCAAAGCAGTTCCCTGATAGTATAAAGTACAGTAGTAGGGGTAGTAGTAATAGTAGTAGTAGTAGTATTATGTAGTATCAGTAATACTAGTTTCACTCACATATATCTCTGTTCTCTCACAGTCAGGTGTCTCAAAGCAGTTCCCTGATAGCATAAAGTACAATAGTAGTAGTAGTAATAGTAGTAGTAATAGTAATAGAAGCAGTAGTAGTAGTAGTAGTGATCGTATCAGTAGTACTAGTATCACTCACATATATTTCTGTTCTCTCACAGTTAGGTGTCACAGAGCAGTTCCCTGGCAGTATAAAGTATAGTAGTAGTAGTAGTAGTAGTATTAGTAGTAGTATTAGTAGTAGTATTTTCACTGACATATATCTCTTTTGTCTCTCACAGTCAGGTGTCAGTTCCCTGGCAGTATAGTAGTAGTAGTAGTAGTAGTAGTAGTAGTAGTAGTAGTAGTAGTAGTAGTAGTAGTAGTAGTAGTAGTAGTAGTAGTAGTAGTAGTAATAGTAGTATTAGTAGTAGTGGTAGTAGTATTAGTAGTAGTGGTAGTAGTAGTAGTAGCAGTAGTAGTAGTAGTAGTAGTAGTAGTAGTAGTAGTAGTAGTAGTAGTAGTAGTAGTAGTAGTAGTAGTAGTAGTAGTAGTAGTAGTAGTAGTAGTAGTAGTATTTTCACTGTACATATATCTTTATAGTCTTTTGTCTGTCAGGTCAGTCAGGTGTCACAGAGCAGTTCCCTGGTAGTATAAGTATAGTAGTAGTAGTAGTAGTAGTAGTAGTAGTAGTAGTAGTAGTAGTAGTAGTAGTAGTAGTAGTAGTAGTAGTAGTAGTAGTAGTAGTAGTATTTTCACTGACATATATCTCTTTTGTCTCTCACAGTCAGGTGTCACAGAGCAGTTCCCTGTCAGTATAGTAGTAGTAGTAGTAGTAGTAGTAGTAGTAGTAGTAGTAGTAGTAGTAGTAGTAGTAGTAGTAGTAGTAGTAGTAGTATTTTCACTGACATATATCTCTTTTGTCTCTCACAGTCAGGTGTCACAGAGCAGTTCCCTGGCAGTATAGTAGTAGTAGTAGTAGTAGTAGTAGTAGTAGTAGTAGTAGTAGTAGTAGTAGTAGTAGTAGTATTTTCACTGACATATATCTCTTTTGTCTCTCACAGTCAGGTGTCACAGAGCAGTTCCCTGGTAGTATAAAGTAGTAGTAGTAGTAGTAGTAGTAGTAGTAGTAGTAGTAGTAGTAGTAGTAGTAGTAGTAGTAGTAGTAGTAGTAGTAGTAGTAGTAGTAGTAGTAGTAGTAGTAGTAGTAGTAGTATTTTCACTGACATATATCTCTTTTGTCTCTCACTTGTGTCACAGTCAGGTGTCACAGAGCAGTTCCCTGGAGGAGGTTCACCTGGACGCCCTCCCTCCGGCTCCTCGTCTGGTGGAGATGAGGAGGGACCCGGTGCTCGGCTTTGGGTTTGTGGCCGGCAGCGAGAAGCCTGTGGTCGTACGCTCCGTCACCCCCGGTAACGAGACAATGTCGCTCATTAAAGGTGCACTGTGTAACATTTCTAGCTTAGGGTCCACCAACAGCTCGTCTCGAAGGTACCAGGTTTACAAAGTTCCAAACTGGAACACACCCGGGCTGGAATGGTTGGTATAAATAAAAATGTCCATTCTCCACTCAATTATGCATCAGTAGTTCATCTGTGGGACTTTTCGAGCACAGTTTTCTGTTTTTTAGCTAATCAAATTACAATATATTGCCCCTTTTACTGTTTACTTGTATTAAATTGGTCAAAACAGGGACACTTGGGACCTTTCTTGTACAAATCAGTTTGTTTTTTTTGATAAATCTGCTGGGACAGGGGACACAGGGCTCAAAACTGGGACTGTCCTTGGTAAATAAGGACGTCTGGTCATCCCGCTCGAAGGACATTAATATTTTGCAGCTGATGTCTGAAGATCTGTTAAATTAGACTTGATTTGAGCTTTATTTTTACACTTTTTTTGAGAAAGAGTTGACTTAGTTGAGATGAGCTGATCTGTGTGCTTACAAAAAGTCTCTCTCGAATAGTCACTCTCACGTTTTTGTTGAAAAATAAAACAAATATTAATTCCATTTTCTTAAAGCAAAAGAAAGCTGTCACTAATTGTCACTAATGTAGATTACTGTGCCCCAATAAATGCTCTCTTTATTAAATTAAATATATTAAAATTACATGATCTCAATACTGCAATTGTCATGTTTAAGGCACAAAACAGTCAACTGCCTCAGTTTATCCAAGAGATGTTCAAACCCAGAGAGAGTGAGGACAATCTGAGAATCTGAGCCTGAAAAGTCGACGCGTCAGAGGAGTTAATCTGTGGAATAGTCTGGATGAAACTTTAAAAGGCTCTAAAACAATTTACACATAAAAAAAAATATATGTATAAGACCAGAATTATAGAGGAAATATTGAGAAATAAAATAAATTACATTTTACCTCACGTAACTGTAACCCTCAATTATATTTATATATTTAAGTGTATTTATAAACCAATAGATATAAATATTAACATGTACATGGTCAGGCTGTGTGTGTGTGTGTGTGTGAACATCGACCTATATTGGATTGTGTTCTGTGTTGTGTATGTGCATATACCAAAATACTTAAGTACGTATTCTTTCCTGCACTCATAAAAAAAAAAATTGTGTTGTTTTCTGTAAATACTTCTGCCGTCTTGTATCCTGTTCTATATGTTAATAGGGTTAGGCCAAAAAAGTGTTAAAACTTCAGCCTAAACCCCTTCGGTCTCATTTTTTGTGTTATATTTGTGTTAAATCATTGTAATATGATGTATGATCATGTTACCTGACCAAAAAAATAAGCAATAAACTATAAAACTAAACTAAACAATCGAAACTTGGGACCTTCCAGATGTAAAAATCACATATCCATGGAGAAAAACATTTGGTGGATTCCCGTTACAGAAAAACTACACAGTGCACCTTTAAAAAAAACATCATAACTCCATATTTAATTTGTTTCATTCATATTTTGGTATTATTAGTAGTTTCCAGAGCTTAATTACTGTCCTCAATTATAGATTTTTTTTAAAATATTTGAGATTTTGTAATATAAGATAATTTTCTTCTTGTATAAAAACAACAAAGTGTCACATGTTCGCATCATAGACCATGTTCTTTATGTTTCTTTCCTGCTTTCTGTGTAATCTTTTGTATTCATTTTTCACCTTTTCTTATCTTGCAAAACTGAATTGTATATCAAAATCTTATCAGGTACTTACAGTTACAACATTATAAATATGTCAGCCAAACATTGCTTAATTTGCTTCTTGCCTTCATCTGATCGGCCGAATTGTCCTCTCAGCAAAACCTCTGCTGACGGTGGCTCTCCGCGCCCTATATAACTTCAATCTGAACTTATACGAGGGAAATCATTAAATGTAAAGTAGATTAAAGGTCCTATATTACGCAAAAATGACTCTTGTGAGATTTTTGTCATCTTATAATTAGGGGTGTCAAATTATCGCGTTAATTGCGATTAATTAATTACAGTCATATTTAGCGCGTTATGTTTTTTAATCGCGTTAATCTAATTTTTAATCTCTAACTTTACTGTTTCTGTATGCGAGTTGCTTTATTATAAAACCTGTTTTTATGTGTTGTTGGGACAACAGCACACACACACACACACACACACACACACAAAAAACCACATTTATACATTTTTTTATTTCGGTAATTCCACTCATTGTCGGAAACCCACACAAAACGCGCGCAGTAAGAGCGACGTAAACGTCACATTGGCGGCGTCAGTCGCACAATGGACGAGGTCGAACAGCCAGTAGAACAGAGGCAGCAGTGCACAGGTAAAAACGCATTCGTGTTTTGGAAATTATTCTCCCGACGTGAAATATAAAAGAAAATAACAAATATAAAATCGCCTACAACTTAAATGTCACTGCAAACAACCTGCATAGGCTCATGATGTCTGAACTACTGTCCTATAGTGACCTGCCACATGAGAGGACACGCACACAAACACACACAAACACAAACACAAATACAAACAAACACACACCTTCATCATCGTCATTAACCTGAGGACGCGCGGACCACGTTTCCTTCCGTAGACACTGCGCGGACACCGACGTGCTCCCGTGAGCCGCGTGTGGATCGTGTTTTCTCGCGTACGCGGCGTAAACCACGCTTCCTCCTGTGCACCTCTAAACCAGAACTAACACCAAGACTAAAACCAGGACTAATCCAGTCCAGGACTAAACCAGGACTAAAAGTTCTAAAAGATTTCCTCGTCTTTGCTACTTTACAGCAAACAGTTTCTTATTCATGGAGACTTAGGCTCAACAACCAATTTGAAGAGATTTGTTGAACAATAAATGACTTTATAAAGTCACTTTTTTTAATCTATATCAGTCTTTTGATCTGCCACAATAATGTAATAATGAATTTAAATGAAAATACCTCAAATTGAAGGCTTTTCTCAGCAATTTTTAGGTGATATTAAAATGAGATTAATTAGATTAATTAATTACAGATCATAATTAATTAGTCTCTCAATTTTTTTAATCGCATGACAGCACTAATTATAATACTGTTACCTCCTCAAAAACAGACGTGGAGTTGTGTTTTGTTTCATTCGCACATGTTTGAGTAACACGGTCTACATTTCCAAAGCTCAAAATGCTCTGTTCCACCTCGTGATGTCATTCAGTGGTAGATTTAAGGTTAAAGGTGCACTGTTTATCCGTCACCTGTTTGTCTTCGTGGAGCTGTTACTGCTTTGTCTTTAATATCCCACAGTATGGCTTTAAACATATCTATTTAGAGACAAGCTCGCAATTTCTCCAGGCAAAGTTTGATTGATTTATGTTTTTATTTTGGGCAAGTGAGAGATTTATTTATTTATTTTTTACAATGGCACATATAACTTTAATGAAATCATAGCAGAAATAACAAAACAAACAAAACAAAAAATAAAAATTGGCTCAAAAAGGAGTGGGAAGAAGAAGAAAATTTATTTACTAACACAATGATCTTTCTTTCGAATTTTTCAGACGTTTTACATTAAACTATATGAACTATTTTCAAGTGCGGACAAAGAGTCACTGTTATAAGTTACAGGTCAGATCTGTGGAGAGGAATGCTTGTTTTTTTGTTGTGTTTTTGAGCAGTGTAACACCTGTAGTTGAAATTATTATTATTATTATTATTAAAAGCAACATACATGAGTTTAATGCCATACTGTGAAACCTTTCAGTCAAAGCAATAATATCTCCATGGAAACAAGCTCGTGGCAGACCCCCTACCACAAAAGTTACACAGTGCAACTTTTAACAACAATTTTACCTTTAATTGAATTTCCATACTCTAAAGCAGACATGTCAAACTCAGGCTCGGGGGCCAAATTTGGTCCGTGATATAATTATATTTGGCCCGTGAGATCATATCAAATTTGTATTAGAGCTGCCCACTGGCTACAGATCGACTATAGAGACATTATTTATTTAAAATTTTCTTATTATTTTATATTTTGCTTGTTCTGGATTCAATGTTTAAGCAAAACTATTATTAAACATTTATTTTAATAAGAAAAGGTTTAACATTACATATCTCGAAAGAAGAGAAAACATGACATTTTTCAATAAATATTTAGTTTGGCCCACGACTTAGTCCTAGTTTTTAATTTTGGCCTCTGTGAATTTGAGTTTGATACTACTGCTCTAAAATAATCTTAACTTGTTGCTTTTGGTTTTGAGTATTTTTCTTTTCCCCTTCATTCGGATGAAATTGTCAATAAAAAGTCTCTAATATCTGCTGGTGCATGAGGAGTGAAGCAGTGTAAATGAGGCAAAAACGATAGCTGTATCTTCAAAATTAGGCAATTCCAGGACTGAAAAGGCCAAAATTATTGTCGTGAAGGTGCATAGAGTTTAAGAACTGCAGGGTTTGTGTGTTAAACATGTGTGAATAAAACAAAAAAACACAACTCCAGGTCTGTTAATCATGAGGAAACAACATTATAATATACAGTAGATTAGCGTAATATTGGCGCTTTAATGTTTAGTCGCCGTGTTTGTTTTGGTTCCTGGCTGGTTTACAAACCGGAGCCCTGTCTTTTTCAGCTGTCTGCACCCTGATCACCCATTTCAATAATCAATCAATGCTGCATGCTAACGAGACAATTGAACTAATGAATATTCTGTAATGAGACAGTAAACCGAGAAAGAACTCTCACACGGGGACAGTTTAGAAACTTGTAATGGCAAATTAAAGTCTTTGTACCTGATTTTTACTGTCTTAGAAAACCTGAAAAACAGAATTAGTCCATTTTAAACAGTTTGCACTGGTCCAAAGTCGTTCCTCACTTATTTTAGGCATTCTAACCACACACTTCCTGACTTCTTTTGACCTCTGCTTATGCAATATACAATGGAGTAAGACATTTTTGCTCAAATATATGGAAAAAAATCATGCACAGGACCTTTAATATACAAATTTTGTGCATAAGATAAATTAAGTGATTGACTTGAATTATTTATAAGTGACTATTATTGTTTTACCAATCAGGCAATGACTTCACATGAGAGCAGTAGACTTAGAGTTAGACAAATTTTAATGATCCACAAGGGAGATTATTCTGACACAGGAGCTCACACATCGCAATATATTATAATAACAAAGAGAAAAAATATAAATGGTAATAATAGATTCTAAATAAGCAGCAAAAAATCAAAAGCAAGTGTCAAAAAAGTCAAAATAAAGTCAAACAAAGTCACTTTATAAACTAATAAGCAATGTTTTGGTTACATATTATTTCCTGATGACATTTTGTTGAAAAAAATTAACAAAATTTATTTACAAAATGATTTACACTCTTCCAAATTTGTTAAGAGTGTCAATATGAGTGGTTGACATTGTACGAAAGGAATGATTTTTTAAGGATATAAGATGACCAACTGAAAATAAACATGTAAAAATAGTTGCCCTATATTTTGAATTCAAAGTGTACATATTGCATAACAAACAAAATAACATAACACAATTATTTATGTTTAGTTACCTGTAGTTGTCTCAGTTTAGCCGATAAAAGCTGAAGTAAAAATAAAAATATCTAAAATATCTATATCATCTGTGCTGTTGTAGGTGGTCCATCTGAAGGGAAACTGTTGCCTGGAGACGAGATTATAATGATCAACGATGAGCCTGTGAGTTCTGCTCCCCGAGAAAGAGTCATCGACCTGGTCAGGTAAAAATACACACCTGGACACTTCTAGACACACCTGGACACACCTGGACAAACCTGGACACACCTGGACACACTTGGACACACCTGGACACACCTGGACAAACCTGGACACTCCTAGACACACCTGGAACACACCTGGACACACCTGGACACACCTGGACACACCTGGACACACCTGGACACACCTGAACACATCTGGACATAACAGGACACAACAGGACACACCTGCAGAAACACCTGGACACACAAGGACACACCTGGACACACCTGGACTCACCTGTACACACCTGGACACAACTGGACACACTTGGACACACCTGGACACACTTGGACACACCTGGACACACCTGGACACACCTGGACACACCTGGACACATTGGACATAACAGGACACACCTGCAGAAACACCTGGACACACAAGGACACACCTGGACACACCTGGACTCACCTGTACACACCTGGACACACTGGACACCTGGACACAGCTGGACACACTTGGACACACCTGGACACACTTGGACACACCTGGAAACACAAGGACACACCTGGACACACCTGGACACATCTGGACATAACAGGACACACCTGCAGAAACACCTGGACACACAAGGACACACCTGGACACACCTGGACTCACCTGTACACACCTGGACACAACTGGACACACCTGGACACATCTGGACACACTTGGACACACCTGGACACACTGGACACACCTGGAAACACAAGGACACACCTGGACACACTAGGACACACCTGGACACACCTGGACACACTGGACACACAGGACAAATCTGGACACACTTGGACACATCTGTAAACACCAGGACACACCTGGACACACCTGGACACACCTGGACAATAGGCCTGTCATGATAATTCAACTTATATATCAACTTACTGTCCTTTTGGAGGATCAATATTTATCTTGGGTACTTTTTTATTAGTGCTATGACAAGATTTGAGCTGAAGAAAGTTGAATAAATAACTTTTTGAAGTATATAATTTGTAAACATTTTCTTCCACAAACAACAAAATCTCTGAAAATCTCTGGTCTTATTCTTATAAAAACTGCTAATCCTGCAGTAGTTTAGATCTGTACAAACATGTTCTGTGATTCTTGTATCAAATATTTCTTCTTCAATTTGATGTAAATGTTTTTGTGTAAAGCAGACAGGAGACTCAGGCTAAGTCCACACAACGCTCCTGGATTTATTTATTTTTTTTTACAGGTTGAAAAATATTGGCGTCCACACACATGTTGGATCAATAAATATTCACGGTGAAAATGAGTGAAAACGATGTAATACATACACCACACCTGTATGTGGTGCTGTTAACAGTGATAATAAAATGTAATAATGCATATCTCATCACTGTTTTTTTTTTACTTTAAGGTAATTTAGCCGATTTTAGCCGTATCCCACAAATACAGTCATTTTGTTTTGCTAAAGTTAAACATAAATTTTCGTTTTTAGCCTTAAAATTTGGATGAGAATTAATAGAATAACTTGGTCTCAAAATCCAGCAGTTGCTTGTCCACATGACAACGCAACGCCGGTGTACTCAGATTTCTCCACTCTTGAACCTCTTTTCAAAAAACCCACCCAAAACGCCAGCTCCGTGTGGACGAAAAGCCCAAAACGCATAAAAACTTCACTGTTTCGACCAAAAAACATTGCCGTGCGGACACCACCTCAGTCTGTTATGTATATTTGAATAAAAGCAAATATTTTACTATAATTTTAAAACATGAAAACTAAAATTTAAACAACTGTGTGCATTTTCTAAAGTCTGAGAAAGTACTTGTTAAATTTCCGTGTTGTATTTACTCAAGAAAAACTCAGCAGCATCGCAATATATGTCCACATTTCATAGCGATGCTTCAAATTCGGCTTAAACATAACTTTGGTTTCTTTTATAACACTGTTTTGTCTATTATTGTCATTGTCTGCCATATGGACCACGTACAAAAAAATCCAAATTACTTTTCACATTTTTTGTCCTTTAATTGGCTTTACAGACTGTTTACCTTTGGAACAAGCGACTCAGACTGGCTGCAACTTTTGGACTAAAATGTGTACTTATAGATTTGTACAAACACATTCTTTACATCGCTTTTTTAAATTTATTTTTTTCTCTGCTTCAGGAGCTGCAAAGAATCCATTTTACTGACTGTTGTCCAACCATATCCTGTAAGTATTGGTGCTTTTATTCCGTTTTAGTCTTGCGTTCATGTTACGTAACTGCAAATGTTATTGATGTGTCCGTATCGATCGTGCTGGGGGTGTTCTACATGTACTAGTATATCTATTGGCAGCATCTTTGTCAGTTACCGTGGTGATAATGCGCAAATGTAAGCAAACACAGACGAAAAAGCTTTTAAATAGTCTCAAAATTCATGAGAAAAATACAAAAAATTGATTGAAACAGCACATTTTCAGAAGCTTGTTTAGTACTTCAATAGTCCATTTAGTATTTTTACATATTTTATACCAAATTTTCTTATTATTTACAATAGTTTAAAGGGTTCTGTTTTAGTTTTGTGTCTTAGTTGTGTCTAGTAAGGTCCTACTCAGTGTTGGGAGTGTTACTTTTAAAATGTATTCCCCTACAGATTACAGATTACATACCCCAAAATGTAGTTTGTAACGTAATCCATTAAATTACTTAAAGTGAGTAATGTAATCTGAATACTTTGGATTACTTGATTTGCTGTAGAGAAGCAAAGACGAAGATATCGTAGCATAAGACGTTTTGTCTGATGAAAGAAAATGAAAAGTCCAGTCTTTACTGAACCGTCCATGTTCACACAGCATGATTTAGTCCTGTTAAATCCAGCTTTAGTCCTGGTTTAGTCCTGGTTTAGTCCTGGTTTAGACTTGATTTTAGACCTGTTTTAGACCTGGTTTAGTCCTGGTTTAGATCTAGTTTAGACCTGGTTTAGACCTGGTTTAGTCCTGGTTTAGATTTAGTTTAGATTTAGTTTAGACCTGGTTTTAGTCCTGGTTTAAATCTAGTTTAGATTTAGTTTAGATCTGGTTTTAGTCCTGGTTTAGATCTAGTTTAGATTTAGTTTAGATTTAGTTTAGACCTGGTTTTAGTCCTGGTTTAGATCTAGTTTAGATTTAGTTCAGATCTGGTTTTAGTCCTGGTTTAGATCTAGTTTAGATTTTGTTTAGATTTAGTTTAGATCTGGTTTTAGTCCTGGTTTAGATCTAGTTTAGATTTAGTTTAGATTTAGTTTAGATCTGGTTTTAGTCCTAGTTTAGATCTGGTTTTAGTCCTGGTTTAGATCTAGTTTAGATTTAGTTTAGATTTAGTTTAGATCTGGTTTTAGTCCTAGTTTAGATCTGGTTTTAGTCCTGGTTTAGATCTAGTTTAGATTTAGTTTAGATTTAGTTTAGATCTGGTTTTAGTCCTGGTTTAGATCTAGTTTAGATTTAGTTTAGATTTAGTTTAGACCTGGTTTTAGTCCTAGTTTAGATCTGGTTTTAGTCCTGGTTTAGATCTAGTTTAGATTTAGTTTAGATTTAGTTTAGATCTGGTTTTAGTCCTGGTTTAGATCTAGTTTAGATTTAGTTTAGATCTGGTTTTAGTCCTGGTTTAGATCTAGTTTAGATTTAGTTTAGATTTAGTTTAGATCTGGTTTTAGTCCTGGTTTAGATCTAGTTTAGATTTAGTTTAGATTTAGTTTAGATCTGGTTTTAGTCCTGGTTTAGATCTAGTTTAGATTTAGTTTAGACCTGGTTTTAGTCCTGGTTTAGATCTAGTTTAGATTTAGTTTAGATTTAGTTTAGACCTGGTTTTAGTCCTGGAAATGTGAAAACAGTAAAATATCGCTGTGTAATCCATTTATTTCAACAAAGTAACTGTAATCCAATTATCACTCACTGAAACAGTAACTGTAATCGAATACAGTTACTCATAATTTGTACTCTGATTACTTAACTCCAGTACATGTAATCCATTACTCCCCAACACTGGTCCTACTCACATTCTAGACCTGGTTTAGTTCTAGTTTTAGACCTGGTTTACATTTTTTCAAAGGTGCGTTGTGTCATTTTTCTGATGAACGTCTCGGCTCCATCGAGATGTTACTACTTTCCCTGGAATATCCCGCAATACGGCATTAGAGACGTTATCTGTCTTGTAGGGATGTGACGATATCCAAGTCTCACGGTACGATATTCTTACGATATTTTGTGAAGGCTAAAAAAAAATGATGTGCTACTTTTTTCCTCTTAAAACGCCTTGACAAGATTTAAAAGTGCACTAAAACGGAGCAAAGGATCATGGGTGATGTAGTTCCCTCTATTGCTGCACCATAACAACGAATTTAACTTGTGATTCGATATATTGTGAGGGTCCACGATATTACTGAGAGACTTTTGACGATAAATCAAATTGCATTTATTCAATTACAGACATTTTTATCGCTCAAAATATCTTACACCTCTCCGTAGATCTGACTAGTCCCATCACCTGCTTGTGTTTGTGAAGATTTTAGGTTTAATGCCATACTGTGGGACATTCCAGGTAAAGAAATAACATCGTCACAGGACACTCCAACAGAAAAGCTACGCAGCGAGCCTTTAACTTTGTCCTAGTTTTGCTGCACTGCCGTAAACTGATTATATACATGCAATATCTATGTTTACAGTGTGTTTTTCTCGTCCTCTTTTTGTCCATCTGTCCATCTTTTTTACTTCTTGTTTCTCTTTTTTGTCAGTCGCCTAAATCTGCGTTTATCAGCGCCGCCAAAAAAGCCATGCTCAAGTCCAACCCCGTCAAAGTGCGCTTCGCCGAGGAGGTCATCATCAACGGACAGGTCCCGGTAAGTCCTCCTTCTCCTCCTCTCTCCTCTTCTTCTTCCACTTCCTCCTCCTCTCCCTCTCTCCTCCTCTCTCTTCCTCCTCCTCTTCCACTTTCTCCTCCTCTCTCCTCCTCCTCCTCTTTCTCCTCCTCTTCTCCTCTTCCTCCTCCTCTCCTTCTCTCCTCTCTTCTCCTTTCTCCTCTTCTTCTTCCACTTCTTCCTCCTCTAAATCCTCCTCTCCTTCTCTCCTCCTCTCTCCTCTTCTTCTTCCACTTCTTCCTCCTCTTCCTCCTCCTCTCCTCCTCTCCTCCTCTCTCCTCCTCTCTCCTCCTCTCTCTCCTCCTCTCCTCCTCCTCCTCCTCTCCTCCTTCCTCCTTCCTCTTCTCCTCTTCTCTCCTCCTCTCCTCCTCTTCTTCTTCCACTCCTCTCCTCTCTTCTCCTCTTCCTCCTCCTCTCTCCTCCTCTCTCCTCTCTTCCTCTCTCTCTCTCTTCTCTCCTCCTCCTCCTCTCCTCCTCTCTCCTCCTCTCTCCTCTCTCTCCTCTCCTCCTCTCCTCCCTCTCCTCCTCTCTCCTCCTCTCTCTCCTCCTCTCTCCTCTCCTCCCTCTCTCCTCTCTCTTCTTCCTCCTCTCCTCCTCCTCCTCTTTCTCCTCCTCCTCTCTCTCCTCCTCTCTCTCTCTCCTCTCCTCCTCCTCCTCCTTCTCTCTCCTCCTCCTCCTCTCTCTCCTCCTCTTCTCTCTCTCTCTCCTCTCTCTCTCTCTCTCCTTCTCCTCCTCCTCCTCCTCTTCCTCCTCTCTCTCTCCTCCTCTCTCCTCCTCTCTCTCCTCTCTCTCTCCTCCTCTCCTCTCTCTCTCTCTCTCCTCTCTCCTCCTCTCCTCCTCTCTTCCTCTCCTCTCTCTCTCCTCTCTCCTCTCTCTCCTCTTCTCCTCCTCTCTCCTCTCTCTCTCTCTCCTCTCCTCCTCTTCTTCCTCCTCTCCTCTCCTCTCCTCTCTCCTCCTCCTCTCCTCTCCTCCTCTCTCTCCTCTCTCCTCTCTCTTCTCTCCTCCTCTCCTCTCCTCTCCTCCTCTCCTCTCTCTCCTCTCTCTCTCTCCTCCTCTCTCCTCCTCTCCTCCTCCTCTCCTCCTCCTCCTCCTCTCTCCTCTCCTCTCCTCCTCCTCCTCTCTCTCCTCCTCCTCCTCTTCTCTCCTCCTCCTCCTCCTCCTCCTCCTCCTCCTCTCTCTCTCCTCTCTCCTCTCTCTCCTCCTCTCTCCTCCTCTCCTCCTCCTCCTCCTCTTCCTCCTCTCTCCTCCTCCTCTCCTCTCTCCTCTTCTCCTCCTCCTCTCTCTCCTCCTCCTCTCTCTCCTCTCTCTCTCTCCTCTCTCCCTCTCCTCCTCTCCTCTCTCCTCCTCTTTCTCCTCTCCTCCTCCTCCTCCTCCTCCTCTCTCCTCCTCCTCTCTCCTCCTCTCTCCTCCTCTCTCCTCTCTCTCTCTCTCCTCCTCCTCCTCTCTCCTCTCTCCTCTTTCTCCTCCTCTCCTCCTCCTCCTCCTCCTCCTCTCTCCTCCTCTCTCCTCCTCCTCCTCCTCCTCCTCTTCTCCTCCTCCTCTCTCCTCCTCCTCCTCTTTCTCCTCTTCTCTCCTCCTCTCTCTCTCTCTCTCCTTCTCTCCTCCTCCTCTCCTCCTCCTCTCTCTCCTTCTCTTCTCCTCTTTTCTCTCCTCTCTCTCTCTCTTTCTCCTCTCCTCCCTCTCTCTCTCCTCTTTCCTCCTCCTCTCTCTCTCCTCTCCTCCTCCTCCTTCCTCTCTCTTCCTCCTCTCTCTCCTCTCTCCTCTCTCCTCCTCCTCTCCTCCTCTCTCTCCTCCTCCTCTCTCCTCCTCTCTCCTCTCTCCTCTTTCTCCTCCTCCTCCTCCTCTCCTCCTCCTCCTCTCCTCTCTCTCCTCCTCCTCCTCCTCCTCCTCCTCTTCCTCCTCCTCCTCCTTCCTCCTCTCCTCCTCCTCCTCCTCCTCTCTCTCCTCCTCTCCTCCTCCTCCCTCTCCTCCTCTCTCCTCCTCTTCTCTCCTCCTCTCCTCCTCCTCCTCTCTTCTCCTCTCCTCTCCTCCTCCTCCTCCTCCTCCTCTCTCTCCTCCTCTCTCCTCCTCTCTTCTCCTCTCTCCTCCTCTCCTCTCCTCTCTCTCCTCTCTCCTCTCCTCCTCCTCCTCTCTCCTCTCTCCTCTCTCCTCCTCCTCCTCCTCCTCCTCCTCCTCCTCCTCTCTCTCCTCCTCTCTCTCTCCTCTCTCTCCTCTTTCTCCTCCTCCTCCTCCTCTCTCCTCTCTTCCTCCTCCTCCTCCTCTTCTCCTCCTCTCTCCTCCTCTCTCCTCTTTCCTCCTCTTTCTCCTCCTCTCCTCTCTCCTCTTCTCCTCCTCCTCCTCTCTCCTCCTCTCTCCTCTCTCCTCTCCTCTTCTCCTCCTCTCCTCCTCCTCCTCCTCCTCTCCTCCTCTCCTCCTCTTCTCTCCTCCTCCTCTCTCCTCTCTCTCCTCCTCCTCCTCCTCTCTCCTCTCTTCTCTCCTCTTTCTCCTCTTTCTCCTCTTCTCTCCTCTCTCTCTCCTCTCTCCTCCTCTCTCCTCCTCCTCCTCCTCCTCCTCTTCTTCATCTTTCTGCACGATGAATATGCTATAGGATTTCACGGTCACTTCCAGATGGCTGTTTTCTGTCACATACCAGCGTGTCCTCTCACATTTTACACTGCACCTGTTTAGACTTAAGACGGTTCGGACAATTTGAATAATTTTCAGACATGTTTTTCCGCTACACTTTGTCATTGATGGAGACGACCATAAAAATAAAAATAAAACCACGACAAAGACAAATAAAACTTATCCTCGTACTTATCCTCGAAATTGTTTTGCCGGTAGAGACTATTTTTGTCTGATATTCAATTGCAAATTAAACACAATAAAACAAACCCTGGGCAATGAGATTTTATTTTTAGATCAGAATTCCTACTAAAATAATTCAAAGTGCTTCACAGAAAAAGAAAGACATTAAAATAAAATGTGTATGCAAGTAGGAGCAGGAATATTTTAGCAATATGAATTATTTATAACCGCTCATACTGAAAGATGGATTTTGTCTCTAGTACCTGGCAACCCTGTACTGATTATTAAGTTGTTGTTTTTTGCAGGCTGTTTTTAAAGCTCAATACAGCAATTATTTCCGTGGGATTATGTAACTTTTCTGCTCGTCTCCATGGAGATATTGTTACTTTGCGTATTTATTCCGCAGTACGGCGTTAAACTTCTATCTTGCGTTTGCGTTCCTGCTCGGAGCGGGGGTCACCTCTTCGCTCGGCGTTTGCTCGTCTCCGCGGAGATTTAAGATAAGTTTAATGCCATTCTGTGGAACATTCACAAGCAGTAACATCTCCGTGGAGACAAGCAGGCAGGCAGCAGATCTCGCCACCGGAAAAAGTCGCACAGTTCGCCTTTAACTTTTGTGTGCTTTTGAGAAACAGACTGTAGTGGACCAAACAGAACAGCAAAGACAAGGTATAAAAATAAGTTTAAATTTAGTAAAGTCAAAAGAAGATATAATTTAACAACGGCTCAAATTAGGCAAATAATTAACAAAACTGGGGTAATTTACCGTATTTTCCGCACTATTAGGCGCCCTGGATTATAAGGCGCACTGTCATAGAATGGTTTATTTTTTAACGTTTTTCACAAATAAACTGGACTTTAAAGGAAACACAACAGTGTGATGGGTGAGTGGTTTTGTTTGTTTGTTCGTTCACGGTGACTCTGGGCTTTGTTCAGTTGTGGCGTGTAGGGAGGTGCTGTCTGGGACCAACGGATTGTCGGCGTGTTCGCAGTGACTCAGTTGTTCAGTCGTGTCTAGAAGTGGCACATTCGCACTCGCTTTTTCGGTTCGTTCCTCCGTTCCGTTCCTCGTCAGTGTGGAGTGATGAGTGTGTCTGTGGGTGTTTGTCGCTGTGCATTTGCTGTCTGCTCCGTGTGTGTTTGCGTGCGCTGCGGGTGGTGCGGCTTTGTAGTTTACTGAAGTCGTGCTGGGACGCCTGAGTGGATACGTGTATAGGACGCTCTGGATTGTGGGGAGCGCGGCCGTTTTTTGATGGGGTTGGAGGCTTAAGAGCGCGTCTAATAGCCCGGAAAATACAGTGAAAATTACAGTTTGATTAATAAATACATTCAGATTGAATTCATTACAAGACTACAATAAGTTAATGTTTAAAAGACTATATAATAGCTTTATTTGTTATTTAAAACCAGAAAAGGATTATTTTCCTTCAGTTGTAGCACCAGATATTTTCACCCATAGATGGCGCTGGTTCTCTGTATTCCAAAGGAGGATGTTGTTCTTTGAAAACCTCAGCTGAAGAAGTTATAAACAGTTATAAACATGTTCACTCGTCAGATAGAACATCGCGAGTTGTTACAGAAATATGAATGATTTGACAATGGCAACATTTTTTCAGTAAAGCCATTTTAAACTGAAGTTATCGCTCTGACATTTTTTTCATTGTAGTTGTAGCCGAATCCACAACACAGAGAACAACAGACTGTTAACGTCACATATGAACAGTTCTTCAGATAAACTATAGCATAAACAACAGAACAGAACAAGTTTAACAAACTCTCCATCTCACTCCAAATCACTAAATCCATTCAATTCTTCATCCTCGGTGTCACTTCTGAACAACTCCACGACCTCCGGAGGTAAACAGAGCACCGCTTCCTCTTCTGTGTAGCTGTCGTCAGACTCAGCATCAGTTCCAGTTAGAATTATTTCGGTCTTTCTGAATCCCGACAGGATGGTTTCAGTGTCACTGAAGTCCAGGCTTTGTCCATCCATCCAGTGACTTCAGGAAAGTTGCATGAAACTGTTGAAGCTGTGTTCTCCATCCCCGCTTTCCACCAGTCCCTCACAAGTCTCTTTCTGCTGCTCGATTACCGTATTCAGCTGAATATTTCACTACTTACAGCAGGACACAGGCTCTTTCTGCAGGAGACATGCGCAGTAGAGTGAAGTGACAGTGGTGCAGGAGGAACAGATACTGACACACAAGACTAGAGCCTCTCATGGCTTCAGTGTGAAAATTTTAATATATAAGTCACACCAGAGTATAAGTCGCAGGAAACACCCAAACTAAGGCTACGTTCACACTGCAGAAGTGACTCAAATCCAATTTTTTGGCCCCTGTGTGACCTGTATCGGATCTTTTAATGACAGTCTGAACGACACAGAAATGAGTTTTTCAAATGTGACCCAGGCCACTTGGATATGTGCTCCTAAAACCGATACATATCCGATCTTTTGACATGCGACTTCAGTCTGAACGGCCAGGTCACATTCAGCTGACCTACACGCTATCAACAAGCCACAAATGTACACAAACATTCTTCTCGTCATACGAAAATATTTAAATGAACTCCGTGTCACTGAAGCAAAACACATCACTATCCCACCACTCTTGGCTACATCTCCACATCCACACGTTCCTTTCAATAGACAACAAGTAAGTTGTTCATGTTCTGGCTCCGGTACGAGAGGAACTTTAAAATCGCCCGGTGCTCCATGCTCGTCGTCGTCGTGTCCTCCAGTGGACCGTTTAAAGTTCACACTGGAGATCACAAACAAGTCGCATTTAATTGGAAATGTGAACGACCTCGCAAAAACATCGGATTTCACACACAAAAAAATCCGAATCTAAAACAAAAAATATACATGTCCTTTTTATTAGTCAAACCGAGACTAAACCAAGATTGACCCAAGTAAGAAAAAATATGAATAAAATGTGCCTCTCTCTGTATTTCACTTGCATAAAACAGCACATTTCTGTAACATCCGTGCATCCCTCACTGCATTCAAAACCCACTAAATATGTGTTGGGAAGGTTACTTTAAAAATGTAATTCCCCGACAGATTACAGATTACATATCCCAAAATGTAGTTTGTAATGTAATCCATTAAATTACTTAAAGTGAGTAACGTAATCTGAGTACTTTGGATTACTTGATATTGTCCTGGTTTTAGTCCTGGATTTAGTCCTGGATTTAGTCCTGGTTTAGTCTTGGTTTAGTCCTGTTTTTTTGTCTTGGTTTAGTTCTGGTTTTAGTCCTGGTTTAGTCCTGATTTTAGTCCTGGTTTAGTCCTGTTTTTTGTCTTGGTTTAGTCCTGGTTTAGTTCTGGTTTTAGTTTCTGGTTTTTAGTCCTGGTTTTAGTCCTGGTTTTAGACCTGATTTTAGTCCTGGTTTTTCGTCCTGGTTTAGTCCTGTTTTTTGTCTTGGTTTAGTCCTGGTTTAGTTCTGGTTGTAGTTCTGGTTTTAGTCCTGGTTTTAGTCCTGGGTTTAGTCCTGGTTTTAGACCTGGTTTTAGACCTGGTTTTAGTCCTGATTTAGTCCTGGTTTTAGTCCTGGTTTTAGACCTGGTTTTAGACCTGGTTTTAGTCCTGATTTAGTCCTGATTTTAGTCCTGGTTTTAGTCCTGGTATTTTGTCTTGCTTTAGTCCTGGTTTAGTCCTGACTTAGTCCTGATTTTAGTCCTGGTTTTAGACCTGGTTTTAGTCCTGGTTTTAGTACGGGTTTAGTCCTGGGTTTAGTCCTGGTTTTAGTCCTGGGTTTAGTCCTGGTTTAGCCCAAAATATGAAAACAGTAAAATCCCGCTGTGTAATCCATTTATTTCAACAACTAAGTAACTGTAATCCGATTACCACTCACTGAAACAGTAACTGCAACCGAATACAGTTACTCATAATTACGTAACTCCGGTACTTGTAATCTGTTACTCCCCAGCACTGCCCACTAAACATGTGTTGTGGTCTTTTTCAGAACCCCGTGAAGGACCACTCCCTCCTCTTCATGCCAAATGTGCTGAAAGTTTACCTGGAGAACGGGCAGACCAAATCGTTTCGCTTTGACAGCAGCACTTCGATTAAGGTTAGTGTCTTCGCCGCCGCCGCCGCCGCCGCCCCGGGCCCCGGCGAATGAGACAGGAGCCCACGGAGCATGGATCATTTTAGCAAACGCAATTCATTTCATTTTCAAATTGTTCCTCGCTGTTTTCCGCGCTCTGTAACTCCGCGAAGACTTCTCACTGGAGTTTAATTACCGTCTAAGGCTGTCAGTTTGTCTTACTCAAATTGGGTTTAACATGGTCCCGTGCGTCTTGTTTACAAAGCAATAAGTGTTATGTAATGTTTTTCCGAGTGAAACTGTAATTAGAGCTCGCATATCTTTTACTTTTCAATATTAAGCTACTGACGCATATTGTGCAGTGATCCGTCCATCGATATGTTTTTGCGTCGCGTTCACGCTGTAGAATGTTTCATAATCCGTGTATCATTCGTTCATTTGTTTTTCAAAATAAAACCAAAAATAAGAAAACGGAAAAAAACAACTATTTTCTTCATTATTTGTCTCTAAAACCAAAATGGAATAACAGATAATGATTTGTTTTTTCAGTTTTCGATTTTGTGTTTAAATGAAAAATGGAAAAAAAAAAACGGATTCAGCGGATTGAGTCAGGACCGAACCAGGACTGAATCAGGACTAAACCAGGATTAAACCAGGACTGAGTGTCAGGACGGGCCCAGAAGTTTAGTCCTGGTTCAGTCCTGGTTCAGTCCTGGTTCAGTCCTGGTTCAGTCCTGGTTCAGTCCTGTTCATTCAGTCCTGGTTCAGTCCTGATTCAGTCCTGGTTCAGTCCTGATTCAGTTCTGGTTCAGTCCTGGTTCAGTCCTGGTTCAGTCCTGATTCAGTTCTGGTTCAGTCCTGGTTCAGTCCTGGTTCAGTCCTGATTCAGTTCTGGTTCAGTCCTGATTCAGTCCTGGTTCAGTCCTGATTTAGACCTGATTTAGACCTGGTTCAGTTTTCCGTTTTCGATTTTGTGTTTAAATGAATAATGGAAAAAACAGATAACAGATTCAACGGATTCAGAACCAGGACTGAACCAGAACTGAACCAGGACTAAAACAGGTTTAAACCAGGTCTAAACCAGGACTGAACCAGGACTGAGTGTCAGGACAGGCCCAGAATTGCACTCGCATAGACTGTTGGGTGATCAGGACTGAGGCCGGGGCACAACCGTGACTGAGGCCGAGACTGAGACCATTTTAGTCCTGGTTTAGTTCTGGTTTAGTCCTGGTTTAGTCCTGGTTTAGTCCTGGTTTAGACCTTATTCAGTCCTGCTTTAGCCCTGGTTTAGTCCTGGTTCAGTCCTGGTTCAGTCCTGATTTAGACCTGGTTTAGTCCTGGTTTAGACCTGGTTTAGTCCTGGTTTAGTCCTGGTTTAGACCTGGTTCAGTCCTGTTTTAGTCCTGGTTTAGTTCTGGTTTAGACCTGATGTAGTCCTGGTTTAGACCTGGCGTAGTCCGTATGCAGCGCAAAAGTCCGGCATAGCAGTTTAAGTCACGGAAACGGGATCTGTTTTTTATCTGTTTTTTCCATTATTCATTTAAACACAAATTTGAAAACTGAAAAAACAAATCATTATCCATTTTTTCATTTTGGTTTTGGAGACAAATAATGAAGAAAATAGTTATTTTCGTTTTCTTATTTTTGATTTTATTTTGAAAAACAAATGAACGAATGATACACGGATTTTCCACAGTGTGTCATCATGTTTTAATGTTGTCTCCTCATCGAAAACAGACCTGGAGTTGTGTTTTTTTGTTTCATTTACTCAGGTTTAACGCCCAAATCAACAAATATTTAAGCTGAGTTCTTTTCTCAAACAGAAAACACACAGTTCCACGTTGTGATGTCATCGTGTAGCAATACAAAAAGTGCTCCACTGAGTTTTTAAACACAACTCCAGGTCTGTTTTTGGTGAGAAAACAGCATATTAACATGACTTAAAGCTCACAGAAGTCGATTTTGTGTAATACTGGCCCTTGAAGTTGTAGCTGTTGAAGAATAACTGTGCAGCTGATTGCAAGAAAACCATTTAACTAGAAATGCATTACAAAAACATTCTATACCTCACAATATAATGGGGTGATTTAAATTGGAATGACTTTGACCAAGGGGCAATTTTGAAAGCAAATGGAAGCGGAGGACATAGACAACAAGAGAAGATAATTATAATTGCAATAAGCTGCGGAGGTTTAAAAGAACAAATTGAATGAAGAGTTGGAATAATACATAAAACCAGATTATGAAATTAAATTATGTTAGTTCCTAGGGTTATTAAAGGTTCTATGTTACACAAAAATGACTCTTGTGAGGTTTAAGTCGTGTTATAATAGAGTTTCCTCCTCAAAAACAGACCTGGAGTTGTGTTTTTGGGACCAAGTCGTTGTTTTGCAAGTAAGTCTCAAGTTTTTGACCTCAAGTCCGAGTCAAGTCCCAAGTCAAATACAGGCAAGTCCAAGTCGAGTCTCGAGTCACTGGCCCATAAGTCCAAGTCAAGTCCAAGTCGTTTGCTTTGAGCTTCAAGTCATGTCAAGTCTTTAAACCAAAAAAGTACAGCTGAGATTTTTGCCATTTATATGAATTTTAACATAAATTTTACTTTAAGAGTTGTAGAAATGCAAATGTTTCCTTTTTAAATGTCTTGACAAGATCTTAGAGTGAATCATTACGGTCAGAATAGAAAGAATTCAGATTTAAAAGTGCTTCTCAGGTCTTCTCAAGTCCAAGTCGAGTCCCAAGTCTTAGTCCATTTTACCAAGTCAAGTCTCAACTCCTAAAAAACAGTGACTCAAGTCTGACTCAGGTCCAAGTCACGATTTGCAAGTCCCCACCTCTGATTATTAGTTTCTCTACATTTCATTTCTAAAGCTCGAAATGCTCCGTTCCACCTCGTGATGTCATGAAGTGGTAGTTTTTCAAGTTAAGACGTCATTTCACCTTTAGTTTAGTGCAGATTGCCAATTCCAGGGCTCAAAGTATCCAAATTATTTTAGTGAAGGTGTGTGGAGTTTAAAAACCACAATGGAGCACTTCCTGTATCACCACATGATGACATAACAAGGTGGAACAGAGCGTTTTCAGTTTGAGAGAAGAACTCAGCATAAATATACCGGGTTTGTGAGTTAAACATGTGTGAATGAAACAAAAAAAACTCTTAACTTCAGGTCTGTTTGTGACAGAGGTGGGGAACTTGCGAGCTGTGACTTGGACTCGAGTCAGACTTGAGTCACTATTTTTAGGACTTGAGACTTGACTTGATAAAATGGACAAAGACTTGGGACTCGACTTGGACTTGGAGGTCAGTGACTTGGAAACTGACTCAGACTTGAATCCTGTGACTTGAAAAGACTTGATGCTTAGACTAGTTGACAAATTAACTCTTATTAATCGCTCTTAAATCTTAACTCTTTCTGTTCTGACCTTAATAATTCACACATTTAAGACATTTAAAAAGAAAAAAACAGCATTTCTACAACTCTTATATAAATATTCCTCACATTTTAATTACAATTTAGTTTAAAATTCATATAAATTGCCAAAATCAAAGCTATATTGCTATATATACTTTGGTTTAAAGACTTGAAATGACTTGAAGCTCAAAGCAGACGACTTGGACTTTACTTGGACTTATGGACCAGTGAATCGAGACTCGACTTGCCTGTGTTTGACTTGGGACTTGACTCGGACTTGAGGTCAAAGACTTGAGACTTGCAAAACAACGACTTGGTCCCAGCTTTGGTTCATGATGAGGAAACTACATTATAACATAGATCAGAAAATAACGTGATCTAAGTCAAAATTCTGTGTTTTTTTTCCATAAATTCTTTTCAAATGTGAGTTTAATTTTGCTGACCGGTTTGTATATTTCCCTCGTCTCTCTTTGGTTTCTCCAGGACGTGATTCTGACCCTGCAGGAGAAGCTGTCAATCAAGTGTATCGAGCACTTCTCCCTGATGCTGGAGCAGAGGGCAGAGGGCGGGACCAGACTGCTCCTGCTCCACGAACAGGAAATGCTCACTCAGGTTTAAACTTTTTACTTTTTTCTACTTTCATTTAGGGCTGGAGTCTTAAAGCTGCACTGTGTACCTGCTTGTATTTAATTTTTATCCAATTACAGGTGGTTTCAGAGCTCAAAAATACCTAGAAAAACAACACTCTGACTGTGAGCGGGCTCGTCTCTCCACAGATCTGACCTGTAACTTGGTCTGGTTTGGTCTCCATGGAGATAGAAAGGTTTAATGCCACACTGTGAAACATTCCAGACAAAACAGTCACAAAAGTTACACAATTTTAAAAAGTAGGGCTGCTCGATTATGTAAAAAATCATTATCACAAGATGACTTTTGTTTCTGCTCCTTTTCATTTATTTCTTTTATGTTTGATGTTGTGACACTGTTGATGTCTTTTTATAGTTTATGAATGAAATAAATAAAGAAATACTACTACTACTACTACTAATAATAATAATAATAATAATCACAATTATTTTGGTCAATACTGAAATCACGATTATTTTATTTAACAATTATTTTTTAGTTACACGATGCATTTGTTTCACATTTCTCTCTCAAAAAACACTTTCTTATTGATAATTTATGCAAAATTTTCAAATTGAAAATAAATTTAGGCTACAAATATGAACCTTAGAGCAGCAGAACATGAATAAAATAAACATTGAACATGAAATAAAGCATAGAAAAACATAAATGTATCCAAAATAAACTAGATATAAAGCTGTTCTACAATCTCTATATTTTAAAAAAATAAAATAAACATACTTATTTATATAAAAAAAATCACAAAATAAACGCTGTCAAGCTTTAAATCATTTCAACTTGATTATATGAGTTTGGAGATTGGGAATCGAAACCCACATTGGGGGTGTTCGTACATGTATTTGTTTTGGCAAAATGTTAAGCAGTTACCATAGCGACACAGTGAACACATTTGCAAACACTGCCAAGTTTTAAGACGGTCTGAAAACGCAAGAAAATTGGATTCAAACAACACATTTACGGCGTTCAAAAATCTGCTCTTTCTGGTCAGATTGTGTTAAAACAAAACTTAAATTAAAGTCTAATTTGAGCTTCAAACAGAGCAGTGCCTTCAGTTAGCATATTCTGTAGAGTTTCTGTTGTAGTCCTGGATTTTATTGAGATTTTTTCGACCAGGTTTAGTCCTTGTTTTGATTAGATGTAGCCCTGGGATGCAGCTGTCCTGTTCATACCTTTTTTTTTTCTTATCTGTACAAAAAGCCACTTGGAAATTTTAGTTTAGCCAGAAGTGGAGCCCGGAGTATGAAATTGCAACAGCTCAAAGGAATAAAAGTGAAAAAAAAGTTGAGTCAAAAGAAAATATAATGAAAAGAAAGAAGGTTTGCTGAAGTTAGAGGTGCACTGCTTTGCTTGTTTTGATTGGAATGTTCTGCAGCGTGGCTTTAAACATTATAACTATTCAGAATTTTCCTATTACACAGTTTTTTTGGTGCTCAAAAATAACTTCAAAAACATTTGCCTTTCAACAGATCTGACCTGTAACTTTACCTGGTGGTGTCAGCTAGGAATCTCCATGGAAATAGATCAATTTAGGTTACATTTACACTGAAACAAATCTGCGTATCACCGTATCGGAAACAATCTGCTTCCAGACACGTCCTTTCTGTGTCCACAATCCTTCCCTATCCACACAGCTTTGAGCGTATTTGTTTACGTTTTACAGAAACAAAACTTAAAACCGCATGGCTCATTTGCATAAACTAAGAGCTCAAAAAAACAGCTTGCTATTGTGCGCTGATGTGGTTCAGCTTCTGTCGGACTAAAGGACACGACTCAGTGGAATATGAGTGTTCTTTCTGTGACAGAGGAGTGTTCTGCTGATGGTGAGTCTGTTCTGTGCTTCTGTCGCATTGGAGATGGTTCATGTAAAACTTTTCAGAGATTATACGTCTGCAGGTCGTACACATAAACCGTATATATGAATATATTCTAGCCTTTCAGTGTTTTGGTGGTGATTTACTTCGCGGTGCATAGAACTACATCAGTGTATCAACGTTTTCAGGCGTCCACACAGTGCCCGATCAGATCTGTACTCAGCTGAATTTGTGGGAGTCGGTGGCACCAGATCGTTTTGTCTCTGGAGCCGTTTTCAATCAGATTAGTGCGGACGAACACTGCGTCCACAACGAAAACGATTTGAATACATACTAGTGTGGACGGGGCAACGGGAAACAATTTGCGTCCAGACATGATCCACACAGTAACGTGAAACCGCCTGAAACGCTTGTCACATGACTTGGCTAGTGTCATGAGGTCATGTGGGCGGTTAAAACAAGGAAGTGGAGCACCGTGTCTGGAGTTGCGGCAGCTGATCTCGAGCCGTTGAAGATGGCAAGCGTGAAAACAATCTTTTCTACTAGCAATTAGTTCTAGCTATGCTGTTTCCCGTTTGTCTCTGGTTTGTTTAAACAGTTTTCTGCAATAATGTGTGGGGTTTTTTCGGAAGGTTCAGTGCGTGTCCTAGAAAGAAGCACAAAAGATGGAAGGATCCGAGAAACAGGCCACTTTATTTCAGCATTTTTCCATTCACAGAGATTCAAGTTGATTACCAAGTACAACTGTCACCCCGGAACGACGCCTCTGCCCAACAACGAGGGGTAGCGTTATACCACCCATCTGACAAAACATTAACTTGTTGATTTAGCATATACAGCAAGAAAAGTCACAATAATGCTGACCCGGTACATTTTATCATGGGTGGGAACATGCCACGGGGTCCACATACATCAGTTTTCTGCTTCGTGGCATCTCAAAGTACAGAAAAACATGTCTTTTATAGAACTATAGATAAACATCCGTGTTTTTCAGCCTGTTGTCATTCCAAGGTACAAAATATTGGGTGAATCAGCATGAACAACACAGAATATTTCCCACAAGAGTCACATGAGCGATGTCACGAACCCAGCGAATCAGGAAGGAGCAAGTCAAAGTGACGTGGTCCAATAAGGACAGAACTAGAGCTCCTACGTCAGCGTATCAACTCAGATCTGTACTCAGATGAATTCGTGGGAGCTGGCGGCACCAGATTGTTTCGTCTCTGGAGCCGTTTTCCATCGGATTAGTGTGGACGAACACTGCATCCACAACAAAAACAACTCAAATACGAACTAGTGTGGATGGGACCTTAGTGTCATACTGTGGAACATTTGAGACAAAGCAATAACAACTCCATGAAGACAAGCAGGATGCATAATACAGCTTTAAAAAAAATTGGAGCAGACGAAACAGAATCCTGGAAGTTCAATAAAAATAAAAAATGTCCCGAGTAGTTACAAAAGTCTTTTCAAATAGTTTTTATATCACAACTTAGGAGTGAGTGAATTTCGCAATGCATTTTGTATTTTGCGATATATATATATTTGATTGTCCTGATCTACGAGTACATCTATGGAGGAATGTTCAGCAGTTACCATGGTGACATGATGCAAACGCTGCCAGAAAAGTTTTAAAATATCGTCTGAAACTCAAGAAAAAACACAAAACGGGTTTAAACAGCACATTTACAAGAGTCTGTGATCAGCACGAGCGTTCATGATCCTGTTTAATTTAATAATTTAGTTTGGTTTAATAGTTTCATTTAATTGTTCAATAAAAAGGTGAGAGAGACTTACTGAAAAACTGTAATTTTATGTGAGAGATTCACAATATCTTATTTTTTGTTGCCGCTTTTCTAATTTTGTTGAGCTGTTTTAAATCATATGACGTTTCGTGTCTCGAGTCTCTTTGTTTTGTTCGTTTCTCTGTCTCTGTATTCAAAGTGCGATTTCAGAGTCGGTGTCATTTATCAGGCCCGGGCGCAGCGGGCGACGCTTAGCTCGCATCACACCGCACGTTTCCCGCGACGGACGCCACATGATAATGAGAGACGGAGCGAGGGAGAGGAGAGGAGAGAAAGAGAGAGAAGGAGAGCCCAGGCAGAATAAGAAAAAACATAGAAAGAGAAAGAGGAGAGGGAGTCTGAGAGGCAGAGAGGGAAAGCAATCCCAAAAGACAGAAGGTGAGAGGGAGAGAGAAAAAGAAAACGAGGGAGAGCCCAGGCAGAATCAGAGAAACTTAAGAGAGAGAGAGAGAGAGGGATGAAGAAGGAGGGAGAGAAAGGGAGAGGGGGTGAGAGAGAGAGAGGATAGAGACAACAGAAAGACGAGAGAGGGTAAAAGAGGAAAGGTTTCTCAGAGACAGAAGAGAAGAGAGAAGAGGAGATGAGACGCTGGAGGAGAGAGAGGGAGAGGAGAAAGAGACATAGAGAGATAGACCAAAAGAAGAGAAAGAGGAGAGTAGAAGAGAGAGAGAAGAAAGAGTAAATTAGGAGAGATACAGAGAGAGAGAGAGAGAGAGAGAGAGAGAGAGATGGAGAGAGGGAGGTTGAAATGGTGAGAGGGAGAGATCCCAACAGACAGAAGGAGAGAGAAGGGAAGAATCGAGAGAGAGAGAGAGAGGAGAGAGAATCAAAAAGAGAAACAGGGAGGAAAGTTGTGATGGAGAGAGAGAGAGAGAGAGAGCTCTTAAGAGACTAGGAGAGAGAGGAGAGAAGAAGAGAGAGAGAAGAGAGATTCTAAAAAGAAAAGGGAGGGAAGTTGGGATGGAGAGAGAGAGAGAGCTTAAGAAACAGAAGGAGAGAGAGTAGAGAAGAAGAGAAAAAGAGAGAGAGGAGATAAAAAGAGTGTTGACATTGAGGGAGAGAGAGATGTAAAGAAAGAGAGCTGGAGAAAGTTGGGGGAAGAGGGAAGGAGGGAGAGAGAGCGAGAGAGAGAGATGTAAAGAAAGAGAGACAGATGGGAGAAGTGGAAGGAGAGATATTGAGGGAGAGAGACATGTAAAGAAAGCAGAAGGGAGAGAAAGATGGGGGAAAAGAGAAGGAGAGAGACAGAGGGAGAGAGAAAGGGAGAGAGAGAGGCGAAGAGAGAGAGAGACAGGGCGGGAGAGATGGGGAAGAGGGAAGGAGAGGGGGGAGGGAGAGAAAGAGGGAGAAGGAGAGAGATGAGAGAGAGAGAGAGGAGAGAGAATCCAAAAGAGAAAGAGGGAGGGAGGTTGGAATGGAGAGAGAGAGCTTAAGAGGCAGAAGGAGAGAGAGAGAGAAGGAGAGAGAGGAGAGAAGGAGAGAGAGGGAGAGAAGGATCTAAAGAAAGAGAGAGGGAGAGAAGGATGTAAAGAAAGAAAGGGAGAGAGGTGGGGGAGATGGAGAGAGAGGGAGGGAGAGAGAAAGGAAGAGAGAGGTGCAGGGAGAGAGACAGGGAGGGAGAGATGGGGAAGAGGGAGGTAGAGAGAGGGGGATGGAGAGAGAGAGGAATGGAGAGAGAGAGAGGGAGAGAGAGATGTAAAGAAAGAGAGAGGGAGAGAGGTGGGGGAAGATGGAAGGAGAGAGATAGAGGGAGAGAGAGCGAGAGGGAGAGAGAGATGTAAAGAAAGAGAGAGAGAGAGATGGAGGGAAGATGGAAGGAGAGATATTGAGGGAGAGAGTGATGTAAAGAAAGCGGGAGGGAGAGAGAGATGGGGGAAGAGAGAAGGAGAGAGACAGAGGAGAGAAGAGAAGAGAAAGGGACAGAGAGTGGGTGGGACAGAGATAAGGGGAAGGAGAGAGAGAGGCGGAGGGAGAGAGGGGGGGAGAGATGGAGAAGAGGGAAGGAGAGAGAGTGGGAGGGAGAGAGAGGGAAGAAGAGAGAGAGAGGAGAGAATCGAAAGAGAAAGAGTGAGGGAAGTTGGAATGGGGAGAGAGAGAGCTTAAAAGGCAGAAGAAGAGCGAGGGAGAGAGGGAAGGACAGAGAGAGAGAGAGAGCGAGGGAGAGAGAGAGGGTGAGAAAGAGGGAGGAGCCGAGGAGGACAGGATTGATATTCCACACACAGGATACAGACGTGAGAATGGATTTTCAGGAGACACTTTGACTTGAATAAAAGCCTGAATAAAGGCTCCAAATGAGGGTTAGTCGGAGGTAATGTCTGTGATCACAAAGAGGGCTTAGTATCTCCCACAAGAAAAGTTACACAGTGCAGCTTTAAAAGTGCACTAATTACACTGTAGGTTTTCTGGCGGAGGGTCTGCCACCTGCTCGTCTCCATGGAGATGTTAGTGCTCCTGTTTTGTCTGGAATGCTCTGCAGTGTGGCATTAAATGTGTTTGTCTGTATGTGTGGACACAAGCAGGCGACTCTACAGGTCCAAGTTTACAAGTCAGATCTGTGGAGAGGTGATTTAGCAACATGACTGTATGTACTGTGTAACGACGCCCTCTTCCAGCTTGTTTCCATGGAAATGTCGTTTCTTTGGCCATAATATTCCACAGTATGGCATAAAACTTGTCTACCACCATGAGGAATGTTCTGGACCTTTAAAGCTGGGGTCATCAAACTAAGGCTGCGTTCACACTGCAGCCTGAAGTGACCCAAATCCGATTTTTTGGCCCCTATGTGACCTGTATCTGATCTTTTAATGTCAGTCTGAACGACACAGATCTGATTTTTTCAAAAATGCAACCCAGGCCACTTGGATATGTGCTCCTGAAACTGATACATATCTGATCTTTTGACATGCGACTTCAGTGTGAACGTCCAAAGCACATTCATCCACCTACACGTTATCAACAAGCCACAAACGTCACTATTCTGCGCTGAAGTAGGTGAAAATTGTTAATGAACTCAGTGTCACTGAAGTGAAGCACATCACCACTCACCACTCTTGGCTCCGTCTCCACATCCACACGTTCCTTTCAGCGTTCTGTCCCACAAAACACCACGGCCAAAAAACCTCATCCTTCTCCTTCTTAATCTCCTCTTTAAAATAAGTAAGTTGTACATGTTTTGGCTCCGGTACGAGAGGAACTTTAAAATCTCCAGGTGCTCAATGCTCGCGTCCATGTTTGGACAACTTCTGTAAACACAGACGCTCGCTGCGGTTGACGTCGTCGTGTTCTCCAGTGTCACATGTGGGACACTTTCAGGCCTTTTACTGTTCACACTGGAGATCACATACAAGTCACATTTAATTGGAAATGTGAACGACCTCGCAAAAACATCGGATTTCCCAAAAAATCAGAATTGAGCGTTAAGCCCTGCAGTCTGAACGCAGCCTAAGGCCCGCGGACTGACTCCAGCCCTCCACACTCCTTTGATTTACTTTTTGGCAAATAATAACACGTCTGCATCTTGTATTTTGTTGATTTTTTCAATTAAAAAATGATATTTATGTGAAGTATTTATATTTATATTTAAATTATTATATGACGTATTTACATTTGCCGCCAAATTTTCATCCCCTGACAAACTCGAGGTCAAACAGTGAGAGTCGACGCACAAGCAGAGTTCTGTAGTGCAGTTAAGGACAGCAAAATAACTCGTGTTAAAGTACAAAAAGTTGACAGAGTGCCGAGTTTTCAAAGAACAGTGGACGACTGATTATTTTTTTGTTCAGTGTAAGGAGCGTGCAGTCTGTCTGATGAAAGTGTGGCAGGTTTTCAAAGAATATAATTTGTGTCGTCAGGGTCGTACAATTGTGTTATACGCCCGACCCGACTCCGACCCCCGTCACAGTCACGAGCGACGACCCCAGAGAAAAAAGTTTAGTACAGAAAATACATTTCTTCTTCCTTCTATATAAGTGATTTGTGTATATGTGTAAGATCGGTATGTTTAGCGGAACATTCCAGTCAAGGAGACGAGCAGGTTACACAGTGCGTCTTTAAGTAAATACTGCACTTGTAATAAACTTAAAACCTCCCTCCTTCTATATAAATGACAGTAAAGGGTGTATCTGTCTTGTTGGGGGTTGCTCACCCTCTTGTTTCTATGGATACGTCGTTGCTCTGCTTTAAAATGTTCCACAGTGTGACTTTAAACAGCTCTACTTTACATTTATTATCAATTAAAAGTGGTTTATAGCTCAAAAATACCTAGAAAAACAGGTATTCTGACTGTGAGCGGGGTCGCCTCTACACAGATCTGACCTGTAACTTGGTCCGGTTTGGTTTCCATGGAGACAGAAAGGTTTAATACCACAGTCTAAGCAATAACATGTCCACGGAGAAAAGCATTTGACGAACCCTCCACCAGAAAAGTTGCTGAATGCGCCTTTAAGATAGATATGTTTAGTGGGTCATTCCAGGCTGAGCAATAACATCTCCATGGAGACGAGCAGGTTACACAGAGCGTCTTTAATAAATCTGGCTCTCGTAATAAAGTGAAAACCTGCCTCCTTCTATATAAATGAGTGTAAGGAGTATTTCTCTCCGTCTGTTTTCCTCAGGTGACCCAGAGGCCCGGCTCCGAGAAGATGAAGTGCTTCTTTCGGATCAGTTTTATGCCTCGAGACCCGGTGGAGCTGCTCCGGAGAGACGCAGTGGCTTTTGAATACCTCTATGTACAGGTGAGGAGGCTCCGGCGCCGGTCTGTCTGGTCCTAGTTTAGTCCTAGTTTTTGTCCTGGTTCTGTCCTGGGTTCAGTCCTGATTTAGTTTAATTTTTGTCCTGGTTTCGTCTTGCTTTAGGTCTGGTTTAGTCCTAGGCTTAGTCCTGGTTTAGACCTGGTTCTGTCCTGGGTTTAGACTTGGTTTTGTTTAATTTTTGCCCTTGTTTAGTCCTGGGTTAGTCCTGGTTTAGACCTGGTTCTGTCCTGGGTTTAGACTTGGTTTTGTTTAATTTTTGCCCTTGTTTATTCCTGGGTTAGTCCTGGTTTAGACCTGGTTCTGTCCTGGGTTTAGACCTGATTTAGTTTAATTTTTTTGCCCTTGTTTAGTCCTGGGTTAGTCCTGGTTTAGACCTGGTTCTGTCCTGGGTTTAGACCTGATTTAGTTTAATTTTTGCCCTTGTTTAGTCCTGGATTAGTCCTGGTTTTAGACCTGGTTCTGTCCTGGGTTTAGACCTGATTTAGTTTAATTTTTGTGCTGGTCTTGCCTTGCTTTAGTTCTGGTTTAGTTCTGGTTTAGTCCTGGTTTAGTTCTGGTTTAGTCCTAGGTTTACTCCTGGTTTAGACCTGATTCTGTCCTAGGTTTAGTCCTGGTTTAGACCTGGTTCTGCTTAGGTTTAGACCTGATTTAGTTTGATTTTTGTCCTGGTTTAGTTCTGGTTTAGTCCTGGTTCTGTCCTAGGTTTAGTCCTGGTTTAGACCTGGTTCTGCTTAGGTTTAGATCTGATTTTGTTTCATTTTAGTCCTGGTTTAGTCTTGCTTTAGTTCTGGTTTAGTCCTGGGTTAGTCCTGGTTTAGTCCTGGTTCTGTCCTGGGTTTAGACCTGATTTAGTTTAATTTTTATCCAGGTTTGTCTTGATTTAGGTCTGGTTTAGTTCCAGTTTAGTCCTAGGTTTAGTCCTAGGTTTAGTCCTAGGTTGGTCCTGAGTTAGTCCTGATTTAGTCTCCGTTTTGTCCTTGTTTAGTCCTGGTTCTGTCCTGGTTTTGCCCTGATTTAGGCCTGGTTCAATCCTGGTTTAGTCCTGATTCTGTCCAGGGTTTAGTCCTGGTTTAGTCCTGCTTTAGTCCTGATTCTGTCCAGGGTTTAGTCCTGGTTTAGTCCTGCTTTAGTCCTGGTTTAGTCCTGGGTTAGTCCTGGGTTAGTCCAGTTTTTAACCATGAATCCTTACTAGAGATCTGCACAAGTTAGTTGGATTTTTGACCCAGACAGTCTCCAAAACTACGACAAATATTTGTTAAGTTTTAGTTCCGAGTTGCAAATATTAATACATTTCACAACAATTTAAAAATAAAGTCGTTTTACATCAAATTATTCCAGAAAATCCCACTGAACTCTCTCAGATCCATAAAAATAAGTCCAGTGTTTTCCAGGTAATCCTCATTGATTTCGAGATTAACATAAATGACTCCGAAGTGTGAATTTAATCCTTCGCCAATCACATCCATTATTCCCGAACGCTACGTCACAAAGACAGACTTCCCCGAGGATTTCACTTATAATTACATTACTAATCCGCTTTTCATGTCAAGGATCGAGATTGTGTAATTTTCTACTTTATTAGCCTCAAATTTCACTTTAAAACTCACCGTACAATACAAACACAAAGACAGACCTAGCAGAAATAGAGACGTCTTTTATGGATTTTTTAAAACAACAAATCAATTACCATTAAAAAAAACCTTAAAATTATGTATTGTTTTAAGTGTAAATTGTGTTAAATGTAAAATAAAACAAAAAGATTACATGTGTGTATCAACAAAAAGAACGCAGCTCGGAAAATAACGGAACATGGACCTTTTAAGTTATATATTACATTATTATTACATTTATTTAAAAATAAAAATAAATAAATAAAAATATTGGAAATCCTATAAAATTACCATTTTTTACCAAATTTTCTTTCTACAAATTTGACATTTTTAACTCAATTTTAATATGGGCCCTTTAAATAAAAATAAATAAAGTCAATAACATTTACTTTTTGTTTGTTATGTAGATTTATAAGTTTTTTTTTCTGCAAGATAATGTGTGAGGAAAAAAGTAGCTGCTCAAATTAAATAAATCACTAAATATTCAACAAATCTGCTTTAAATTTGACATTTTCAACTCAACTTTTTTAAATTTTTCTCTTTTTTTTTTTTTTTTTTTATAGTGTTGTAATGACGTGGTTTTGGAGAGATTTGGGGCGGAGCTAAAGCCGGACGCCGCGCTCCGATTGGCCGCTCTGCAGATGTACATCCTCACCATGACGACGAGACAGAGCCAGAAAGTGTCTCTCAAATACATACAGTAAGTACATGTGTTAAAGTCCTGGTTTAGTCCTAGTTTAGAGCTTATGTGGTTCTGGTTTTGACCTGGTTTAGTCCTGGTTTAGTCCTGGTTTAGACCTGTTGTAGTCCTCGCTTTTATCTGGTTTAAAGCTGGTGTAAATCCAGTTCAGAAATGATTTATTTCTAGTTTAGTCCTGGTTTAGTCGTGGTTTAATTCCTGGTTCAACCCTGGTTTAGCCCTAGTTTAGTCCTGGTTCACTTCTGGTATAATTCTAGTTTAGCCCTGGTTTAGTCCTGGTTCAGACCTGGCTTAGTCCTGGTTTAGTTTAGTTCTGGTTTAGATCTTATATTGTCCTTGTTTAGTCCTGGTTTAGTTCTAGTTTAGGTCTTTTATAGTCCTTGTTTAATCCTTGTTTATTCCTGGTTTAGTCCTGGTTTAGTTCTAGTTTAGATCTTATATAGTCCTTGTTTAGTCCTGGTTTAGTCCTACTTCAGTCGTTGTTTAGTACTAGTTTAACCCAGGTTTTGTTCTGGTTTAGTCCTGGTTTGTCCTGGTATAATCCTCATTCAGACCTGGTTTAGTCCTGGTTTAGTACTAGTTTAGCTCTAGTTATGTTCTGGTATAGTCCTGGTTTAGTCCTTGTTTAGTCTTGGTTTAGTCCTGCTTCATTCCTGGTTTAGTCCTGGTTTAGTTCTGGTTTAGTCCTGGTTTAGTCCTGGTTTAGTCCTGGTTTATTACTAGTTTAGCTCTAGTTATGTTCTGGTTTAGTCCTGGCTTAATCCTGTTATAGTCCTAGTTTAGTCCTGATTTAGTCCTGGTTTAGCCCTGGTTTAGTTCTAGTTTAGACCTTAAATAGACCCTGTTTAGTCCTGGTTCCCTTCTGGTTTAGTCCTGGTTTAATCCCAGTTTCTTTCTTACATAGTTCTGGTTTAGTCTCAGTTTAGTTCTGGCACTTTTACACTGCTATTTTAGACATTTTAGTACATTTAATCCTGGTTTAGATCTGGTTTAGTCCTGGTTTAGTCCTGGTTTAGTTTAAGTTGATGAGCGTGCTATTTTTGAGAGTTTATATTTACTATTGTCAATGCAGCAACTCCACAAAACAAAACTGGAACAGATTCAGAAGTGAAATTGTTGCTAAAACGCACCAGAAAACGTTCAAATTATTTTCCAAAATCTCCCCAAGGCTCTGGCTCCTTCAGCTTTATGTTTACGTTTTAAACTCCTATCCATCAAATATTGGCATTGACATAAAGTTATTTATTTTCAGATACAGACGATAAAGTTCTCATATTTTGAAGCTGTGATAGGCTCTATTTCTGTTCTATTGATTTGGGAAAAAAGTTAGAATTTCTTGGTGAAGTTGTAAACGTACTGTGAATCATTAAAGGGCCAATATTACGTTGTGAATGAAACAAAACACAACTCCAGGTATTTTATAAAATTTTAATTCTAAGCTTCCAAAAACATGACAATATTTATGATTTTAACCTGTTTTATTATATTTTTTGTGTTTGCTTTGGAACACATTATATATTATCACATAATATAGTCCTGGGAAATGTGAAAATCTAAAATAATAAAAGTTTATTTACCTTGACACAAACACTCCACACATTATCACAGTTCTGTCCACTCAAGTCTGACTATAGGGTCTCAGTGCGGGGGTTTTATACATACGTGTGCAGGGGATGTAAAATTTCCCATCACCTTTCTGGAGCCTGTGCGATTCCATGGAAATACAAAGAAAATGGAAAAACTTTGGAGCATAGAAACAAGATTTATTTATGTCTTACTGTGCAATATTATATCAAAACAAACAACTTTTCCATGTAAACAAACAGAACCAGACCAAGTAAGAGTCAGGTTTGTGGAGATGCAAGCTCAAAGATCAATGAAACGTCCAAAAATATGCTTTAAAGGTCCTGTATTACACAATATTGACTCTTAATTGATTGAATTGAATCTTTAATCATGGATCTATAATAAAAACTGGATAAGCCCCTTCCCCTCTGTCCCACTGAGTGACCAACTAGTGGCCGCTCCAGGTACTGCGGTTCCTGGGAGCACTGACTAACATGTTCAGTCCTGGGTTAGTCCTACTACTTTAGACCTGATATTGTTCTGGTCTAGTCCTGGTTTAATCCTGGTTTAGTCCTGGTTTAGTTCTAGTTCAGTCCAGGTTATTTTTTGGTGTGGTTCTGCTCCTGTTTTTGTCTTTTCCTGATTTTTTTTCCTGGTTAAGATCTGGTTTAGTCCATGTTCAGTCCTGGTTTAGTCCTCCTACTTTAGTCCTGATATTGTTCTGGTCTAGTCCTGGTTTAGTCCTGGTGTACTCCTGGTTTATTCTTGGTGTAGAACTAGTTTAATTCTAGTTTAGTCCTGGTTTAGTTGTTGTGTAGTCCTAGTTTAATACTAGTTTAGTCCTGATATAGTTCTTGTTTAGTCCAGGTTTTTTTTTGGTTTAGTTCTGCTCCTTTTTTTTTCTTTTCCTGATTTTCTCCTGGTTAAGATCTGGTTTAGTCCATGTTCAGTCCTGGTTAGGTCCTCTTACTTTAGTCCTGATATTGTTCTGGTCTAGTCCTGGTTTAGTCCTGATATTGTTCTGGTCTAGTCTTAGTTTAATCCTGGTTTAGACCTGGCCCAGTTCTAGTTTTGCCCTGCTCTAGTCCTGGTTTAGTCCTGATATAGTCCTGGTCTAGTCTTGGTCTAATTCTTGTTTAATCTTGTTCTTCTTCTGGTTTAATTCTGATCTAGTCTTAGTCTTGTTCTTGTTTAGCCTTGATTTAGTCCTGGTTTAGTTCTCGTTTAGTCCAACTTTTACTTGTATCTTGTCCTGGTTTTGTCTTGGTCTTATTCTGGTCTAGCCATTTTTAGTCCTAGACGAGTTTAGTCCTGGTTTTAGTCCTAGTTTAGTCCTGGTTCCATAGTTTTGTGCTCATTTAGTCCAAGGTTTAGTTTTGGTTTATTCGTAGTTTATAAAAATATGCTTTAATTTTCATGTATGTTTTGCTGTAAAGTTACGGAGTGGAGCTTTAATATCTAACCGGTGACTTTCCATGTTTGTTCCTTCGTAGAAAAGAGTGGGGTTTGCCTCTCTTCCTGCCCCCCGCTGTTCTGTCCACCATGAAAGAGAAGAACATTAAGAAAGCTCTGACGCACATCCTCAAAACCAACCAGAACCTGGTGCCCCCTGGGAAAAAGGTACTGCTCATTAACTTTTATTACATTTATCCAGTGATTTAATGAATGCAAATTACCGTACAGCCGAGGTATTATAACGGAGATGACCGGGAGGGCATCTGACAAGATATTATATGATCCTGTCTTAATTAACCAGGGTTGGCTCCAGAAATCTTCATCAATCTTTGTTTAGACTTGGTTTAGTCCTGGATTAGGCTTGATTTAGTCCTGGTTTAGTTCTGGTTTAGTCGTGTTTTAGTCCTAGTTTAGCTGTAGTTTAATCCTGGTTTAATTATGGTTTAGTCCTGTTTTAGCTTTGGTTTAGTCCTGGTTTAGTCTTAGTTTAGTCCTCCTGGTTTAGTCCTTTTTTAGCCTTGATTTAGTCCTGGTTTAGTCTTAGTTTAGTCCTGGTTTAGCTTTGGTTTAGTCCTGGTTTTGTCATGATTTAGTCCTGGTTTAGTCCTAGTTCAGTCCTGATTTATCCCTTTTTTTAGTCCTGGTTTAGTCCTGGTTTAGTCCTGGTTTTAGTTCTTTAGTTCTTTTTAGTCCTAGACGAGTTTAGTCCCTGTTTAGTCCTGATTTTAGTCCTAGTTTTGTCCTGATTCCCTAGTCTTGTTCTCATTTAGTCCCAGGTTTAGTTGTGGTTTAGTCCTTGTTTAGTCCTGTTGTAGTCTTAGTGTAGTCCTTGTTTTGTCCCAGGTTTACTCCTAGTTTAGTCCTAGTTTAGACCTGGTTTTGTCCCAGGTTTACTCCTAGTTTAGTCCTAGTTTAGACCTGGTTTTGTCCCAGGTTTACTCCTAGTGTAGTCCTAGTTTAGTCCTGTTGTAGTCCTAGTTTTGTCCCAGGTTTAGTCCTAGTTTAGTCCTAGTTGTAGTCCTAGTTTTGTCCCAGGTTTAGTCCTAGTTTAGTCCTAGTATTGTCCTGTTGTAGTACTAGTTTAGTCCTAGTTTAGTCCTAGTTTCTTCCTATTGTAGTCCTAGTTTAGTCCTAGTTTTGTCCCAGGTTTAGTCCTAGTTTAGTCCTAGTTTCTTCCTATTGTAGTCCTAGTTTAGTCCTAGTTTGTCCCAGGTTTAGTCCTAGTTTTAGTCCTAGTTTTGTCCCAGGTTTAGTCCTAGTTTAGTCCTAGTTTTGTCCCAGGTTTAGTCCTAGTTTAGTCCTAGTTTTGTCCCAGGTTTAGTCCTAGTTTAGTCCCGTTGTAGTCCTATTTTAGTCTTGGTTTAGTCCTAGTTTAGTCCTATTGTAGTCCTAGTTTAGTCTTGGTTTTGTCCTGGTTTTGTTCTGGTCTAGTCCTGGTTTAGTCCTCTTGAAAACCATTCCAAACCTCTTTCTCTTTTCCCCTCTAAACCTTGAACCTCCTTGAAAAATCCCCGCCAACTTTCTTCCCTCCTCGTCTTTGTCCCTTAACCCAAAACTTTAAACAACATTTTTAATAAACTTTATGACGTCACCGCCTAAAATAGCTTCTCTCTTACAAACTCGCCCTCTCCTCTCGTCAACCTTAGCCGCCATTTTGAGGACCTTCGTTGCATATTAACGACTTTAGCGAGCAAATAGGGCTGTCAAATATGCATTCATTTGATATGCAGATTCAGGAGACGCAGTGAGTGGTGCTGAACTTTGGGCTTTTTTTATGAATGAAGAAAGAACCAGCTGCCAACAAAGTCATTTTTAAGATAAATGTTTACAAACAAGCCGTCGCACCTTTCACCTTTTTCATCACTTTTCTATTAAATTTATGGAAATCGCCGGAGATATATGATAGACTTGTCGGGAGTCTGGATTAGTTCTGGTTTAGTCCTAGTCTTGGTCTGCTTTAACCTTGCTTCAGTCCTAATTTAGTCCTGGTTTAGTCTTGTTTTGACCTTTTTTAAACCTGGTTTAGTCCTAGTTTAGTTCTGGTCTAATCCTAGTTTTTTTCTGGTTTAGTCCTGTTTTAGTTCTGGTCTAGTCCTAGTTTAGTCCTGGTTTAGTCTTAGTCTTGTTGTATTTTAGTCCTGGTTTGGTCCTGGTCTAGTCCTAGTATAGTTTTGGTCTAGTCCTAGTCTTGTTCTTATTTGGTCCTGTTTTCATTCTGGTCTAGTCCAAGTTTAGTTCTTGTCTAGTCGTAGTTTTCTTCTGGTTTAGTCCAATTTTAGTTCTGGTCTAGTCCTAGTTCAGTCCTGATCTAGTCCTAGTCTTGTTCAGGATTTGTCCTGTTTTAATTCTGGTTTAGTCCTAGTTTAGTCCTGGTTTGGTCCTGGTCTAGTCCTGGTTTAGACCCAGTTTTGTCTTAGTTTAGTCCTGGTTTAATCCTGGTCTAATACTGGTTTAGTCTAAATTTAGTCCTGGTTCGGTCCTAGTCTAGTCCTAGTTTTGTCCTGGTTTGGTCCTGGTCTAGTCCTACTTTTGTGCTGGTCTGGTCCTAGTTTAGTCCTGCTTTAGTCCTGGTTTAATCCTGGTCTAATACTGGTTTAGTATTAGTTTAATCCTGTCTTTGTCCTCGTTTGGTCCTGGTTTAGTCCTGGTTTGGTCCTTGTTTAGTCCTGGTTTAGTCTTAGTTTAATCCTGGTTTAGTCTTAGTTTAGTCCTAGTTTAGTCTTAGTTTAGTCCTGGTTTAGTCTTAGTTTAGCCCTAGTTTAGTCCTGGTTTAGTCTTAGTTTAGTCCTGGTTTAGTTTTAGTTTAGCCCTTCTCTAGCCCTAGTTTAATCCTGGTTAAGTCCTGGTTTAGTTCTTGTTTAGCCCTAGTTTAGTCCTAGTTTAGTCCTGTTTTAGTCCTGTTTTAGTCTTAGTTTAGTCCTGGTTTAGTCTTGTTTTAATCTTGTTTAGTCCTGGTTTTAGTCCTGGTTTAGTCCTGGTTTAATCTTGTTTTAGTCCTGGTTTAGTCCTGGTTTAGTCCTAGTTTAGTCTTAGTTTAGTCCTGGTTAAGTCCTGGTTTAGTCCTGGTTTAATCTTGGTTTAGTCCTGGTTTTGGTTTAGTCTTTTAGTTGGTTTAATCTTGGTTTAGTCCTGGTTTATCTGGTTTAGTCTGGTTTAATCTGGTTTAGTCCTGTCTGGTTTAGTCTGGTTTAGTCCTGGTTTAATCTTGGTTTAGTCCTGGTTTAGTCCTGGTTTAATCTTGGTTTAGTCCTGGTTTAGTCCTGGTTTAATCTTGGTTTAGTCCTGGTTTAGTCCTGGTTTAGTCCTGCTGTAAACGTTCGAACTCATTTTAAAGACGATTATTTATCCTCAAACTGTTCAAACTGGTCTCCACAAACGCGAGCGGTTTCCACGGTGATGAAGAGCCTGTCTCCCGCCCGCACTCTCACACATTTTTCAACACAGTGGAAAAATAATTGTTTTGTTTGAGATTTGTAGCGTTAAAACCGACTCGTGTTTCTGTAATTTAAGAACATATGCCGCGTTTAGTGCTGTAGCCATAAAACAGAAGATTAAAGGTGCATTGCGGAACTTTTTTGGTGGACAGTCTGATAAACGTTTTCCTCCTCGGTGTCGATGTTATTTTTGAGCGATAAAACCACCTGCAATCGAATAAACGTAAAGTAAATCTGTTTAATGTCGCACTGCGGAACATTCCGGACACAGCAATGACGTCTCCATGGAAACCCCCAACCGAAAAGTTACACGGTGCAACTTTAAATATAGATTCTTCTCTCAGGAGCGCTCCTAGGTTCCAAGTCCTAGTGCGAGATTATAGTCCTGGTTCAGTTCTAGTTGAGATCCGGTTCAGTTTTGGTTCAGTCCTGGTTTAGTCCTGGTTTAGTCCTGGTTCAGTTCTGGTTCAGTCCTGGTTTAGTCCTGGTTTATTCCTGGTTTAGTCCTGGTTTAGTCCTGGTTTAGTCCTCCTGGTTCAGTCTGTGATTCAGTCCTGGTTTAGTCCTGGTTCAGTCCTGGTTCAGTTCTGGTTCAGTCCTGGTTTAGATCTGGTGTAGTCCTGGTTTAGACCTGGTTCAGTCCTGGTTTAGTCCTGGTTCAGTCCTGGTTCAGTCCTGGTTTAGTCCTGGTTTATTCCTGGTTTAGTCCTGGTTCAGTCCTGGTTTAGTCCTCCTGTTTCAGTCTGTGATTCAGTCCTGGTTTTGTCCTGGTTTTGTCCTGGTTCAGTTCTGGTTCAGTCCTGGTTTAGTTCTGGTGTAGTCCTGGTTTAGACCTGGTTTAGACCTGGTTTAGTCCTGGTTCAGTCCTGGTTCAGTCCTGGTTTTGTCCTGGTTCAGTCTTGGTTTTGTCCTGGTTCAGTCCTGGTTCAGTCTTGGTTTTGTCCTGGTTCAGTTCTGGTTCAGTCCTGGTTTATTCCTGGTTTAGTCCTGGTTTAGTCCTGGTTCAGTCCTGGTTCAGTCCTGGTTTAGTCCTGGTTCAGTCCTGGTTTAGTCCTGGTTCAGTCCTGGTTCAGTTCTGGTTCAGTCCTGGTTTATTCCTGGTTTAGTCCTGGTTTAGTCCTGGTTCAGTCCTGGTTCAGTCCTGGTTTATTCCTGGTTCAGTCCTGGTTCAGTCCTGGTTCAGTCCTGGTTCAGTCCTGGTTCAGTCTGGTTTAGTCCTGGTTTCAGTCCTGGTTCAGTCCTGGTTTCAGTCCTGGTTCAGTCCTGGTTTCAGTCCTGGTTCAGTCCTGGTTTAGTCCTGGTTTAGTCCTGGTTCAGTTCTGGTTCAGTCCTGGTTTAGTCCTGGTTTAGTCCTGGTTTAGTCCTGGTTCAGTCCTGGTTCAGTCCTGGTTTAGTCCTGGTTCAGTCCTGGTTCAGTCCTGGTTTAGCCCTGGTTCAGTCCTGGTTCAGTCCTGGTTCAGTCCTGGTTTAGTCCTGGTTCAGTCCTGGTTCAGTCCTGGTTTAGTCCTGGTTCAGTCCTGGTTTAGTCCTGGTTTAGTCCTGGTTCAGTCCTGGTTCAGTCCTGGTTTAGTTTTAAAATAATTTACTTATCTTACTCAAATCCGTCAGAAACACATAATTAAAGTTGCACTGTGTAACATTCCTGGTGCAGGATTGGTCACCTGCTTGTATCAGACCAAGTTACAGGTCAGATCAGTGGAGAGGCGAGCCCGTGTACAGTAAGAACTCATG